AATTGGTTGGAGCATCATCTCATACACTGAAAGTTTGCGAGTCGATTCCTGCTCTGGGTTCAATCCTGGTCAGGGCATGTATGGGAAGCAACTAACCTACATTTCAACCGCTGCTTCTCTCTCTCTGCCCCCTCCCCACCTATAAAATCAGTAAACATATCCTCAGGTGAGGATAAAAAAACAAAACAAAAAGAAAAACCTCTTAAGAATTTGTCATCTACAGGTTCTTCTTGAAATACATTTTAACTTGTCCTCTATGTGGAACCAAAGAATTCCTTTTTAAATTCTCTGTGTAAAATGAGAGTTTCTTCTACCTGTTCTTAATTTACCTCTTTCGAGCTTAAAGTAGAAGCTGTTATCTTTGTTTTTTTCCAGGATTTGGTCAATGAATATTATATGCTCTCTCCCAAACCTTCAAGACTTAATAGATTGTAGTCATATTATCCTTAGCTGTGGTTTTTAACTATCAAGGAATCTAAGTGAAAGTTATTATTTTTTAAAACCAAATGCGTATTTTATTTAGGTTGAAATAAACTATAAAGATTGATTTTCTTCATTAAAAATAACAGCAATATTTTCTGTATATTTTCTTAGATAAACTACAAAACACATTTTTGTAGGTTGTCCAGGTTTGGCTTATAAGTAGATATAGTCATGGAAAATTGCTGCAGCCTTTTGCAGCAAGGATTCAGAATCTGGAGAAGGGGCCACGCATAAATGGATACATTAGACAAGAAATATAAATTTAGAAGGCATGGGGAACCAGGCGGAGGCTTCACTCTAGTGGCGAAGCTCTCTGAATGTCCAGACCCAAGGCTTTTTATTTACTAGAATATACATTTGCCCTTTAGCAAACCAAACAGACATATCAAAGGTAAGGTTTGGTAAACAGTAAAAGATTATCAGGTTAGGAGATTGCCTTCAGCCACCATTGTCTCCACAGAACAATTGGTGCATAGCTTTTAGCCCTTGCTAAAGCCCAAGGTCCATCAGCCTTCTGACGGACCTCTCGCATTTACATGTTAACTACTTTTTGGTCTTTGCCTCCAGCAAAAAATGTTCTCCTTTTTAAGCCATTTGAGTTTCTGCTTTATCACATCTTCCCTGTGATATTGTGGACAGAATTGTATTGGTGATTTTATCCAAGGGAACAAAAATCTCTGCATTAGAAATGTGCTTATATATAGCAGAGGCTATATATATACAGAGAGATAATTGTGGGACAGAAACTCTGTCCCCTCCGTGAATTCACTATCTACTGGCAGTCTTTAGCCACTGGAATTATATCATCTATTGAATCTTTGACCAGCATGTTAGACACAAAGGATTGTTCAATGGCATTGTTTTCTAATAACATGAAGAAGTTGTATTAGCATTTTCCGGTTTGCCCTTCAAGGGTTCACCGGATGGGGTGGTTTCATCATGCATAGCTAATTAACAAAAGCTGGAAGGAAAGTTTTATTGTCTGAAGGGCTACAGGATCGGCGCCTTTATTTTCAGTTGTTCCATTTTCCCATCAATATGTCTTCCTTGTATTTTTCAGAGAGTGCTGGATGAAGGCCAACAACTTGGCATTTCCTTTCAAGGTGATCCAAATTGGGCAGGAAAGGTGAAGGTAAGGCATGATTTAATTTTTGTTTCCATGGCAAAAATCCCAAAAAACTATAAAAGCGGAAAAACCCACAGAACTCATTTGCTGTCTCATACAAGTTGGGGAATTCAGCAGATTTTGTCCTTATACTTTAAAAAAAATTGGTGTTTGAGAATGTTACACTATGCATGGTTGTCTAGGTTCCAGATCTTTCCCCCGCAAAGCTTAATAAATGGAAGGGGTGCTTCAATAGGGAAACGTGGCTCTAGTCCCCTTTAGCATATACCATTAAGAAAAATGGGATTTAACAGATTCTTTCATTTTTGTACTGAAACTGGCATATGGAAGATAAATTTTTCCTGTCACTTGGATGCCAGGAAATAACTGCAGTTTTGTACTTACAAGCCCTGGAAGCTACCCTTTGAAATTCCTACGTAAGAGCCATGCTCTGACAAATAGAGCTGAAAGAAGAAAGGCCCAGACTATCTTTCGAATTCCAATTATGAGTTCTAAATTTGCAATTTGAAGGTATTTTGTTATGCACATATTTCAGGTCATAAGCATAAAAGGTGTTTTGACATTATGCCTTTACTCTAGGTCTCCTTGGAGCCAGTGGTGAAATCATTTTCTTATTTACACTCTTTGATGTTCACCTGAGATGAATTAGTTTGGTGTCTGAAATGTTACCATTTTGTTAATCTAAAATGTCTCATTGTCAGCTTGCAGTGGAAAGCAGTTACTCCTCGTGGAATAGTTTTTCATTGAAACGTAGCTATTGTGTCTGTAAAGGTCATTTGCTCTGCCTTTTTTAACCTTTGAAGTAATATTCAGTTTTATTTGTTCGAAAGAGAGAACACTTGATTTTTTTGCCCTGCTCACCTTGCTTGTAATTTACCTGGGCAGGATGATTTTTTTTTTATAACGATATTTATATTTTATTTTATTTTTAAATCCTCATCTGAGGATATTTTTTCCATTGATGTTTAGAGAGAGTGGAAGAAAGACAGAGAGAGAAACACCAATGTGAGAGAGACACATCTATTGGCTGCCTCCCACATGCCCCTGACCAAGGGCAGGAGCCTGCCACCGAAGTATGTGCCCTTGACCAGAATCGAACCCAGGACCCTCAGTCCACAGGCCGACGCTCTATCCACTGAGCCAAATCAGCTAGGGCAGGATGATTTTGTTTTGAATGAAGACGCTTCTCCTGCTTTCTTTCTTTCTTTTTTTCTTTTTTTACTCTCTGGCTCTTTCCGGTGAAAAATGTGCTGTTATGATAATAGCCAGACCCACCACCATCATTTGCTTGAGAAGCAAAAGCAATAAAACAACAGCAGCAGTAATAATCCTTTACAATAAAAGCCTAATATGCTAAGTATCTGGTTGTCTGGTGACCAGGTCGACTGTTCAACCAATCAAAACGTAATATGCTAATGATATGCTATGGCCACTCAACCACTCGCTGTGATGTGTACTGACCACCAGGGAGCAGACAGTCGACTAGTACAGCAGTCACCAACCGATGGTCCGTGGACTACTTATGGTCTGTGAGGTCTGAAAGGTTAGTGACTGTTGGACTGGTCGACCAGTCGCTATGACGTGCACTGACCACCAGGGGGCAGACGCTCCAACTGGTAGGGTAGCTTGCTGCTGGAGTCCGGCTGATCGGGACTGAGTGAGACTTGCCCTGCTGCCCTCCTGTGGTCCCTCCCCAGCCGATCTTGCACCAGTGGGGTCCTTCGGCCTGGCCTGTGCCCTCTTGCAATCCAGGACTCCTCAGGGGATGTCAGAGAGCCAGTTTCAGCCCGAACCTGCAGGCCACTGCCCTCCGGAGGGCGCCAGCCGCAGGGCTCACGGCTGGTGTTCCTCTCCTGATCAGGACTGATGGGCGCAAGCCGGCAGGCGCAGTGGGGCCGGGATAAGTGGGAGCAGCAGGTAGGAGCTGCAGGCGGCATTGGGGTTTTGGCCCAATCCCCGCAGGCCACCGAGAGGGACCCCGGCCGTGCATGGCACTGTTTTGGACTGTCGTGGCTGTGGAATATATTCTGGGATAGAATCTGGAACGAAGTCCCTTTTCAGGAACTCCCCAGATGGTTCTTTCCCTTTCAGTATAAAGACCTTCCTATGGTGCCTGCAAAATCCAGGCCAACTTCCAAATTCACTGCTGCTTTCAGATGTCTCTGGGAAAGCTGTGTGAACACAGACCTTTAGCGGGGACTCAAAAGTGAATGAGAAAATTGTGTTCAGTTGCTCACTTGAGTGTTTTGGAAGTGGATTCATTGATTCTTAATTGCCGTTTTTTTTTAAAGTCTAATACGTATGCATAAAAATAATGTTAATTCTTCTCTAGGTAGATAATTTCCTAGAAGTAGAAGATTTGGACATGGATGAAGAGATTAAGCCCCAAATGAGCAAGGGTATGCCTTCTGTTTTCTTTCTAAACTGCCTGGCCTCTTTCTAGAAGCTACAAGTCATACTTTAGGCAGCTTTTTTTTTTTTTCTTTCCTGGCAATCCTATCTCCATCTTCCCTGAGACAGGGAAAACTGGAGTTCTGCAATTTCTTTTTCAATAACAGAGATTTCAGTGGAAAGGTCAAAGCCTGTTGAAGGTTGTAAAGTCTTGCATCTTAAATGAAATAAAGATGTCCACTCTCCCTCTACCCCTCCCCACACTGATATACCATATGCTTGATTTTTGAATTATTGTCTCAAGTAAAGTCATCTAAGTCAAACCCAATTTCGTAGAAGCACCATGCTGTACATTGAGGTTATTTTGGAATGAAACATAGAACATCAATTAATCATTAAAATAAAAAAATATCGGAATTGATGATAAACAAAAAAAATCCAAATCTTTGCTTTCATAAAAATTTATTAAATATGTAAACCAAACACTTAAGAAGACTGAAGGTATATTATAAATGTTTCTTTTGGGGGCATCTTCCCATATGGGCTGGACTGAGAGAGGCTTTATGCTAATTCACTGATGATTATGTAGATGAGTCCTTTTTCCTTTCCTGGTTAGCATTTTTGTGTAAACATAGGTATCCTTTTTTGCTTAAAGGACTTTTGAAATATGTTCCAAATTAGAGTTGTTTTGAAAACTCTCATTCCTAATTTAATATGCAAGAATATTTCAAAGTCAATGTTGAACTAACGTTAGGGAAGGGGCAGTTTCCATGGGATTTGGTGTTGCTTACAGTGTTTAGGCCAGCTGTGGGCAAACTACGGCCCACGGGCCAGATCTGGCCTGTTTGAAATGAATAAAACTAAAAAAAAGACCGTACCCTTTTATGTAATGATGTTTACTTTGAATTTATATTAGTTCACACGAACACTCCATCCATACTTTTGTTCCGGCCCTCTGGTCCAGTTTAAGAACCCATTGTGGCCCTCAAGTCAAAAAGTTTGTCCACCCCTGGTTTAGGCAGTCATAAGCATAATCATGAATTATGGTCACGATTATTGGATGAGGACTTCTTTATAACCAGACAGGAGTTAGCATGTCTGGGTGTACTTGGTTTGGGAATGATGACACGCCGTAAGCCCTATTCTGGCTTCTTTGGTTGCCTGGATTGAGGGTAATTGGAAGCAATTAACATTTATATTCTGCTTCTGAACATCACAGTACTCTACTGAAGGGTTTGTTTTTCAAGCATTTTATTAACCAGCAGACTTGGTTCAAGTGAGATCAGAAATCTGATGGAATCACATAGTCCAAGGAAAGGTTCTCTTAACTGTGATACCCTAGGTTGCTCTGAATTTCTGAGTAAGAGCAGTTTAGGGACTCTAATTGCATTAGAAGGGATAGCTATGGACTTATCAAGAACCAAGTTTGTAGAGCAAGCACACTGGTTTGGGGCTGTGGGTGACTTTGGGAGGGCCAGCTTGTTAAAAATGAACATTCCTGGGCCTAGTGCCAAGGGAGAGTCTAATTCAGAAGGTCTTCGGTGGCATCTTGCCATCTGTGTTTTCAGCCACTACCCCAGGGGATTCAGACAGAGTTCACGTGTGTGGATGAAACTTGGAGACAAATAGTTCTAGTTTGTACTTAGTACATTTACAATATAAAGTTAATTTTATAGGAGGGCACAAAAATACATTGGATGGGCATTTTTCCCAATGGTTTAAATTTCTTGCTTCCTGCGAGTAATGAGAAGATGTAGTATATACTGAGAGAAACCTACTTAACCAATGAATGTGATTTTGGTTTTAGAAATCTCTTCAATTAGCCTTTTTCACTTTTTATTATTTTCATATTGTTTTTCCTTAAATATTTTTATTATTTTCATATTGTTTTTCCTTAAGTTATGTTTTTAATGATTGTTTAAAAAATCAGATCTATTTCTTTTAGTTTGAAAAAATTGCATAAAAAGTCTCACAAGTATGATTCTTCCAGAAATCAGATAACAGGCCGTCTTGCACTTATGTGAAAAAGGTCACTGAGGCCTGAACCAAGTCTCAGTGAACTGGAATGCGCTAGTCAAGACCTTCCCATGTGTAAAATAATGTGGAAAACCTAGGCTGCGAAGCAACCCTGGCTTCATTGCCCTATTCCAGTTACCAGCAGGGACCACCAGGGCTTCACAATTTTCATAATGCACAGTCTGGGTCACTTACAAGGAAAAAATTAAATAGTTTGTGCCAACGCGAATTGCAGTTTGGGCCTAATTTGTATTATGCCTCAGGAATGTGAGCAGAAGGCACACATTTAGGTCAGATGGGAAATGTGACATTTCAAATAGGCGAGTTGCTTATAAAATTTTGGCAGCTGAGAGGCTTACTGATTAGAGTCTGTTGTTATTGTTTAAGCAGCAGATATGCCTAGGGCAACCGGGAAGTGAGCTGCGCATTGTTTTTCTACCATTGATGTCATTTGTTCACCTTATTTGCTTTTGTAAATATTCTTTAAGATTCAGGTGCAGGATTCCTCCCCAGTGTTTGGCTTTATGATGCTTCCCCAGTGTTTGGCTTTGGCAGCTCAGGCGGACACAGTTTTTCAGAGGAACCAGCTCACTGCAGTGGTGTCGAGCACTAGTAGTTGCCACGGAGTTTGGGGCCCTGTGTGTATTTGAAATCAAGTTAACCACTTTTTCCTCCTTTGAATTTGAGATAAGGTAATTAACCAGCAGGGTAATTACTAGCGTACCCCTGACTTCTATCCAGAATCATCATTATTTGGAGTAGGTATTAGCTATGCTGAGCCATTAGAGCAGGGAGAATCTTCTGGCTATCTTTATTTATTTCTCCCTTCAGTTGGCCCAGCCTGCTCTCTAGCTGAGTGCAGTGGGCTGAAGAGCCTTATTGAGGTCTGTTTCTCAGGCTTATACTCTTTTAGTCAGTGTGAGTACTTATTCTGTGGTTGATTGTATTGGAGGAGAACGGGCAAATAATTCCTGCCCAAAGATTGGCAGCCTTATTTGATTTTCATTTTCAAGCTCTCCAGTGCTCCCAATTCTAACACAGGTATCAGTCATCTCTTTCTTGTTTTTTTTTTTTTAAATTCTTTCCTTATCTATAACTTTAAGCACCTTTATATAGCTTATCATTGACCTGGGACTCTTATTCAACAAATATTTAACAACTGTGATTGGTGCCTGGAATATAAGGGAGAATGAAATTGATCTGGTTCCTGTTCTCATGAAATTTATAATTTGTTGGAAGAATCAAATATTAACCAGATAATCACACATATATAATTATAAATTATTCTAGATCTCATGAGAACATACATATGGCAGGGGAACTTAAATTTGTGTGTGGGTCAGAGAAAACTCTCTGAGAGCTTGAGATCTCTAGAGGATGAGTTATCTTTAACTAGATGACGGGGGTGGAGTGAGGCTGAGGGTTAGGAGAGTATAGGAACAGCATAAGGTGCAGCATGTATAACGGGACTGAGCTAGGAGATGGCATGTTTCAGCCAACTTAATGTTTAGACATTTCATTCACTTTATACTTAGTACTGTTAAAATCATTCCTTCATTGCCTAGATCACTGAAAACACAGAGAGGGAAAAATTCTTGCTTCCAAGTGTTCCTCTATCTTTGTCCCTCCAATTTTTATATGTGCAAACTTAACAATCCTTTAAAGTCCAGCTCAAAAGCCATGTCAACCACAGGGCAAACCTGCTGCCCAGGCCTCATGATTTCATAAGGAAACTTTCAGTCCATTCCTGAGAAGAGAACAGAATTGGGAAAATAAGAAGCCCATTGTGACTGCAGAACAAGCAGCACTTTTAAGTTCAGCTCCATCCATTATATATTTCATATTTTGCTCCCCATCTTTCTGACTCCTGTATTTATTTTTTATTTCTGTACTTGGAGGGATTTATTATTATTGTTGAATGCCAATATCATCCTTGAAGTAAGTCTTCCCTGAACTTGGCCACCTTCTCCTTGGATAGCAGTTACCTTTCTTCTTTTGTACTTTTTAATCTTTCTTTCTTCTCCTACTTTCATTTATTCTGAATTTTATGTCTCTTGAGAACTGCCTATCATTTACACACATGCATCTATACATATATACTTATCCTGCCAGTTATGTTTTCTTTATTTCTTGCCTATTTTGTATTAATCCAGTATTATTTTATTATTATTTCATCTTCCCATATTTTTACTGGGTAGAGAATTCTAGGTTTGTTATTTTTTTCTTTCAGCACTTTAAAGATGATATGCTAATCTTTTCTTATCTTCATTACTGAAAACTGCTGAAAAATCAGGTATCAGTCTGATTATTGTTGCTTTGAAGCTAATATGGTTTTTTGATGACAGTATGTTTTGTTTCCCTCTCATTTGGCTGATTTTCACTATCCCTTGGTATTGTTTTATTTGTATTTATTTTGTTTGGGGTTCGCAGAGATTCCTGTAAGTGTTGGGATATCCTCAGCTGCCCTCTTTTCAAATATTACCTGTGCCTGAACATTTTTACATATTCCCTATATCTCTTAGGCTCTTATCAGCATTTCCATCCTTTTTATTTCCTTTCTTGTTTCAGTTGGAGTATATTCTACTATCTCTATTGTAGATTACTAATCCATTCTTGAATTGGATCTAATTTGATGATAAATCCCTAAATATTCCAGTTGTTAAAGTTATCAAAAGATATGGAATATCTATTTTTTAAATATATTTTATTGATTTTTTTACAGAGAGGAAGGGAGAGGGATAGAGAATTAGAAAAATTGATGAGAGAGAAACATCAATTAGCTGCCTCCTGGACACCCCCTACTGGGGATCGAGCCCGCAACCAAGGTACATGCCCTTGACCGGAATCGAACCCAGGACCCTTTAGTCCACAGACCGATGCTCTATCCATTGAGCCAAACCGGTTAGGGCTGGAATATCTATTTTTATAGACTTTAGTTTTGCTAAAATTTTCCATTTTTTGTGATGCATTTTTTAAAACATATTAATCAGTTATTTTAAATTTTGTGTCTTATAATTTTAATACCTGAGGTGTCCTATGGGTCCATTTATATTATTAATTTCCCCTTTTGATCTACTGTCTTTGTATACCTGGTAGTTTTTTGTTTGAATGCTGAACATTGAATGCTACATACTGAAATACAATGGTTGTCTCAGGGAAAATCAATCATGTGATTGAATGGTGTTTTGAACCAGTTTCTTTTTCTTTTTTTTAATGTAGATCAACATTTTTACTTGAAAGAATGACAAACTATAGTTCTCAAAAAAAGAAGTAAAAAAAGGTGAATAAAGTAGGCCTATTTCTTTAAGACAAACAACTGATAGTATTGTTTTTAGTGTGTTTTTATTGATTTCAGAGAGAGGAAGGGAGATGAAGAGGGAGACTGAAACATTGAGGAGAGAGAACTATCCACAGTATTGCCTGGCTCTTGCATGCCTCCTACTGGGGATCCAGCTTGCAACACCAGCAAGTACCCTGACCAGAAATCAAACCTACAATCTCTCGGTGTATGGGACGACACTCAACCAAAGGAGCCACTGCTGATGCAACTGATAGTATTCATTGTCAGTGACAAAATTGACAGTGCATTGAGTGAAAAACAGAGTTTTGGAGACGTGCATCCAGTACTGTGAGCTTGACACTTCCCCAATATTTAAAGACGTTTCTGATAAAATTGGTAATGTTAGCTAATGTGATTGTTATACTGTATAATGAAATATGTCTATATTTGAGGGACCTGTATAAAACAGTGAATCAGTATTTTCCAAATTTATGATGTTACGAAATCATGTATTAGAGAAAGAACCATTCAACATGTAAAATTGACCAAGATTTTAACATAATAGTATGAAAAATTCACCAAAATGGTTTCAGACTGCACGTTGAATTTAGTTTTTTTACTTTATCATTTTTGAGATCTAGTATAGTAGCAAAGAAGAATGTCCATGATTATCTAAAAAGACTATTAATGTACTCCTCCCTTTTCCAGTTATAAATCTGTGTGAGACTAGATTATTTTCATTGACATCAAGTGAAACAATATTCCAAACTTGAGTGCTTAACAAGTTTAGAATCCAGCTTTCTTTGCGACAAAAAAATTTTTTTTTAACCATATAACAGTGCTTCTCTTCTCACTATTTTCTTTGTTTGGGGAAAATAGATTTCTTATTAAAATATTTATTTTAATATATAATGATATTTTAAATAGTTAAATAAATATTTGAAAAAAGTCTCAGTCTTTAATTTATAATATGATAAATATTCATGGACATAAACTAAAGTTCTCTGGAATTTTCAAAAAAATTTTAAGAATAAGGACCACTGGGATAGACTATCCTAGCTGAAAGCTATGTGTGGAAGAGGCCTGGATTACTAAAGCATTTACCTACATCCTTTTTCGTCTTGGAGAATGCCCAAAATGTCAAAAATTTTTTTGTCATTTCTACATGACAAGAAAGGAACAGGTTGGTTAATTTAATACCTATATCACACAATTAAATATTATTCTTACCTAATTTATTAGATGTCAGATAGATTGCTTGCTTTATAATGTTGTATTGGATTCTGTGAGTATAGCTTTTGACTTGCTGATTATTGACTGCATACAGAAAGACAAATGGCATGAGCACATAGTTCATGAATATTGGAAATTCTTATGTAGTTGAGAAAGAAGAGGTTGAAGTGTTTTCAGTCTTGTTGCCTAGCATCAAAATTTGTTTTTGAGTGTTGCCTTGACTCTACATGTACATCAGCCAAGAGAGTGGTATTTAGTGAAGATGAAAACAAGGCCTTTGGTATTTCAGAAACAAGTAAGATAGGATCAAGTTTCTTAAAACATTTCAGTTTTAGAAGGTTTTACAGAGATACCAAATTCCATTCCCCACCATTAATGAATACCATCATTTTTCTCCTGGAGAGAACATGCGTATATAAATAACACACTCGTGATTACAGAATGGCTAAAAGATAAGGTAGCTTTCTTCATAACTGTCTTATCAGACTCTTCTCATCCATATTGGTTTTACTCTTTTATGACTCTATCCTCTTTAGAGTTAAGGTTGTTCAATTTTGTTTTGATTATGCTCTGCTTGATTTCATATGTGAAAATCTTATTCCTGTAACAAAGTTTAATTATTGAGGGTAAGAACTATACATATTTTACATCATCCACAATGTCCTATTAGCACACAGACTCTTGATACTTGCTGTTCAGTTTAAAAGTTGAAATGCAGGAAATTTATTTCCTATCCTTAAGTATTTGTTGAGACTATACTATGTGTAAGGTGCTGTGTTAGGCACCAATAGATACGCATTTGTACATTTTGCTTTTGTACTGAAGAAGCAAATGGCAAAGCAAAGTGTGGAGGATTCGGAGTCTTCTTGTTTTGAAGTTGTTCCCATGGCAGTAGAATTTTTATGAAAGAAAACGTCTTCTCCAAAATATTAGAGGTGAAGAGGTTTAACAAAGGAATTGCAGAGTTGCCCTCCTTGGTGCATATGGTTCTCAATCAGATTTTAAATAGCTCTGAAGGCAGAATTGATTTTTATCTTATACTTGAACTGATGTTTGCACTGATGGTCAAAGGGTCTGGTAGACATTGGTTTTTACATTAAGAGGCCCGAACCTTTCTCGTCTTGCCTTTGTTGTTGGCAGGCCCCTAACCAGGCTTGTACCAGTCCTAGGCAGTTGCACTGAGTTTGGCTTTGAACTCATACATAGATATATTAGAAAGTCAATCTTCCCACCAACCTTAATGAGTTTAAAAAAAGTACTTCTCTGGGCATAAAATGTTTGAGTGCACTTACAACTGACTAGCCATACTAATGAGCTATTACAGTGACATTTCTTGGCCTTGAGTTTGGCTAATCTGATAGATTTAAAAAATATATATAATGAAAATGCTTATTCAAAAGAAGTTTATAATGTGGCATTGTGGGCTCTGCAGACAGAGTGCCTGGCTCTGCAGACAGACTGCCTCGCTGTGCCACTTTGTGGCTGTGGCACCTTCAATGAGGTTACTCCTAGTGCTTAGAGCTCATTGCCTATAAAACAGGAAGTAATGGAGCTGTTGGATTAGCTGAGTTAATGCATGTAATATATCAGCTTTATAAGAGTTGACTATTATTATTGTTTTTATTTCTGCTAGTTAATCAGGTCATATTTTATGGTTTCCATAATTAATCATAGTAAAACCACCTTGTTCACCAATCCTCCACTCACATGCTCAATTTCTAGGCTATGTTCTTTGTTGCTGGAGTCTTATGAATTTTGTAATTATATTTTTTTGTGAAGGTGACGGCATCACAATAGCGAGAGATATATTTCATATAAGATTCAGTTTTTAAATATCGAATCATGCTGTTATCTCCCCATATATGCTGCCACTGGCAACGGTCAAGGCATGCCTATTGTTAGTCACTTCCGGGGAGAATGTATTCTTTCGTAAGATCATCTTTGAGTAGCAGGCAGCATTCCTGAGCCAACTGCAAGTTATTGGGTATCTCCTGCAGCCTCTGGTCCTGTGAAAACTTACTGAGGGTAAAGCCTGTTGTGCTTCTATTTGTGTGTTTTGTGGGTTTTTTTGTCCTCCTTAAAGAAAGCTGTGGGAGAATATCACTTACTTGTGATGCCTCCACATTCTCTCACACGTGCAAATATAAGGGAACACATCCCTTCATCATGAGTTGGTCAGAAAACCAAGATTGGCTCTTGAATTCTTAAAACTGTGCCAAATAAGCCGGAAACACGTTTTTGTTGTTTGCAGGTGTCGAAACGTAGAGTATGCATTCTGAATGTGACAGAGTAGTTCATTTTTTCTGTTAAAAGTTAAAGTTCTTTCCTTCTGGCATCATTGTTTTTTAATATGCTTTTTTGTTGTTGTTGTTGTTGAAATATTGCCATCTCTTTACGGGATGAAATTCTACACTCTATTTCCTTTCTCTTCTCCCCTCAGGAAAATATGGGAAAATGAGGCAAAAACAGCATCTTCTTGCCTTATTTTCCTATAGAGGTAGACAGTGGGTTTTGAGGGGTGAGAGGCATGAACAAGTTACTCCCCAAACAATATTTCTCTGAGACCTTCTGGATGGAATCTAACTGCAACAATGGGGTGGAAATAGACGTACCAGGGACTTCTAGTTTCTAGAAAGGGGAATCTCAAACCAGGACAGGCCTTGTGAGATGGACCTGCCCTACCTGAGCATATTTGATTTATTCTTGGGACCATGACAGGCTTTTAGACGATTTAGGTCAATTGTAAGTTCCAAGAAAGGATCAAATGAAATATTTTCTGTCCCGCAGATTTGCCGCTGCTGCCTGGGGAAGTGGAGGACGTAAGCACCCACATTCCTTCCAGCATCCCTCCTGCAGCTGACATTCCTCCCGCAGCCAACATTCTTCCCGCAGCCCAGCCTCTGACCCCTGCAGTCAATCCAAGGCCCACGGTGGAAAGAGCGGACACGCGAAAGGATGAGGTGCTCCATGGTGGACTCCATCAGTCTCAAAATTGCAGTGGTTTTGCAACTTGTCCTTTCAGAGAAATGCTCCTCTACCCGTCCCTCTTGTATTTTTCTCAGATTTGGGAAAATTCCAAATTCAAGTTGCTTATTTGGGCCCCTCTCACGGCCATCTATTGCTATTGCATATGTTTCTTTTTAAACACAGGGAGCGATTATGTTTTTACATGGAAACTAGTTTTTTTAGAATATGTTTTTATTGATTTCAGGGAGAGAGAGAGGGAGAGGGAAGCATCAGTGATGAGAGAGAATCATAAGTCAGCTGCCTCCTGCGTGCCCCCTAGTGTGGATTGAAGCCTCAACCCCAGCATGTGCCCTGAATGGGAATCGAACAGTGACCAATGGGTTAATGGGTCGATGCTCAACCACTGAGCACACCGGCCATGGAAAATATTTTTCTTCCATGACGTATCTCTATAGGCCAGTGCTACCTGGGGACAATGCAACCAAAAAGACAGAGGAAGGAGACAGATGGCTTTCTTATCTCTTCTAGTCTGAACTGACCTTTTTTCTTTGTATTATTGTTCCTAAGGCCCTGTAGACATCCTGTATTTGTTAAGGTAAAGCTAGGCTGCTCCAGGAGAGAACCCCAACAATAATTCGGTGGTGGAGGGGATAGAAGTTTCTTTCTTTCCTGGAACAACCTATGGAGGGTCTCTCAAGTTAGCAAGTGGTTCTGTTCCCTGGACTCACCACGGCTCCTTCTCTCTGGAACTCCACTCTGCCTCCAGACACTGTCCTCAAGTGCATGCTTCGGGTCAGGTCCCTATTTTTCCGGGGGCAGGGGATGAGAGCACATGCTGCGAGCCAGGTCCCCATTTTTCCGGGGGCAGGGGATGAGAGCCCGAGGGAGCCTGCTTCCCCGGGCTCAGAGCTCAGGGCTCCATTTCTGCTCACGCCCTATTGGCAGCCACTCAGTCACATGTTCCTACCCACCACAAGGGAGGCTGGGAAGTGTCATCAGCTGTTTGCTTCCCCAGCAGGGTAGAATGGAACCTCTGCCACATGCGTCCTCTCCCAAATGCACCACTTGAAAGTCACCCTTCGCTATCCTCTAAAGCTCTTCTGCATGTACTCGACAAAGGTGCACCAGCAGAGGCTGGCAGATGTGACCTTTAGCACTCAGTTCACTTGAACACAAAAGGGGATCAGGAACAGAGGTTGCCAAGGGCTCTTCACTATCTCTTTCTAAGAAAGCCCTTAGGATGTTTCTTGATTATTTAATTATCAGGTACTAGTCTTGCCACTTGAAGATATTTGGTTATGGAAGCAGTCATTCAATCAGAAATAATCCATGCACTTCAATTTTAAATTACCCCTTTATTATAAGACTTTGTTCACTGCTATGGCAAACTTATGTCTAGGGTGCTAGTAGGCTTATGTTAAACCCCTAAATTGGTTACCAGATACACTGGTAGGGATAGCCACTTTTCGGTGTGCTTTTTGAATTGCTTTTGTTGAAGTAAGAAACTAAAATTGCAAGGTTATTTCTGGCAGAAATGAGTTTCTTTCAAAGACTTGTTTATGACTTCCATTGTGACCATACAAATGATTTGTCCAACTCGTGGTCACTGCATCTGGTGCCATTATGGAAATGTTTATAAAATGATTTTAGTTGATGGGTTAAAAGAAAAACCCAGAATGATTTCTGGAACCTGTTAAACATCCAGTAAAATGCTATTTAAAACCCTGTATATGATTGTATCTTCAAAAAGAATATACATTTCTTCCCAGAAAATGCCAACATTTTTAAATATTGGAATCAAAATGATATAAACATGTTTGTGTTGGCAAACTCATGAGATATAGATGTATAACTTTTGAATATCCCTTGGTTTGGGATTTTTATTTCTAACCATCATTTGGAAGAGAAACTTAGAACTGTCTAGAAATCATAATACTGCACCAACTCTGCCATGGTTTAATAGTATTAATCTTACTTTAAAGCACCCAATGCCAGTATAAGACCATCAGCATCAACTTCCAGCAAATGTATTCTGTAAGGGCCTACCAAGGGGCTAGAGACCCAGTTGCTTTCTGTAACTTCAGTCTGGAAAGATGAAAATGTACCCTGGATGGCCCATCATCCTGTAATTGCCTAATAGGAATCCACAGCTTCCTAGTATGGATCAGACCAATTAAAAAAAAACAACTGTTGTTGTTCATTTTATCACTGGTTTTATACATGTGCATTTCCCCCCTTAGAGTCAAACATTTCCCAAGAACCTTCCAGTTTCTATTTGTGAATAATTTCTTGCCTTAGTTAATATATTTTGATGAAAGTAATTCACATTAGAAAGATGAAAAATTGTGAGTTCCTCCTCCCCATCCCCAACCCATAGAAGAGGTCATAGAAGAAACTTGCATAGTATGTTTTTAATGGGAGATCTCCTGTTTTTCCAATTCATATAGGGTCTTCAAAATTTTTCACCTATAAAGATAGTTTACTTAGCATATTGCTTTGTAATAGAACCTACAGCTAAATGCTGCTGTCATTGATTTGAGCATTAGTTCTGCTTTCTTTGACTTGCCTATGTGGTATTCTGAATGAAAATGACTCCTCTTGTAGCAGTTGCACTTAGAATAAGTCACATGAGCAATTTAAGGAAGCTAGCAGTGTTCTGCCAGTGTACGAATTCTAGTCCCCCAGAGGCTCAAAAAGATTTCAATTAGATTTGAAATTATATACCTGAAATCCACATATTTCAGCTCCTTAGGCAAAAATAACAAGTTAATAACTTAATTCACAGTTGTTTTCTGTGTAATAGTGGGAGACTTGGCATTCCATTGCACAAATGCTTCTCTTTGAAATAAATCAGAACTGGAGTTTGCAACTAATTTGGAGTCTTGTAGCTCAGGACCCTAAGATGAACCTTACTTGAAAGAAGGGAATTCCCAAAGTGTGCCAGAGTAGCCAACAGCTGAAATACATAAACAGAATTGCGACTTTGATGTCTTTTGAAAGCTGCCATTTTAAAGTTCGCAGTGAAGTTTTCTGAGTTGCAGTGTGTCCCCTTCCTCCCTTCCTCCTTCCCTCCCTCCCTCCTTCCCTCCCTTCCTCCCTTCCTCCCTTCTCTCTTTCTCTCTTTCCTTTTTAAAAGTTAGGTTTATTGAGATCTCATTTACAGAGTAAAATTTACCATTTTGGCATGTATATAGTAAAAAATACTAAATAAGAACCCGAAATACTTTTTATTTATATTTAGGATTTTTAAATGGCATCATTAACATATATAGTAAAATAATAGTTACTTTTTAAAAATATTATTTTTATTGATTTCAGAGAGAGAGAGAGAGAGAGAGAGAGAGAGAGAGAGAGAGAGAGAGAGAGAGAAAGAAAGAGAAACATCAATGATCAGAAAGAATCATTGATTGGCTGCCTCCTGCATGCCCCCCAAGGGGATCAAGCCCACAACCCAAGGGATTCCTGCCCTTGACCAGGAATCTAACTGTGACCTCCTGGTTCATAGGTCGACACTTAACCACTGAGCCATGCCGGCTGGGCAATAGTTACCTTTTAAGTCCTATGTTGTTTTATAAATTTCTAAATGTTATGTTGATTTATAAATCTATAAATACTAGGGTATTCATAATTACATATTCACAATTACTTTGCTCTAATAACTGATTTATTACTATTCAGTCTGCAAGAGCCATTGATATATACTAAATGTTCATAAAACTCAGAATAATACGTTAATACAAAATTATAATGTCAGAGGCTTGGAAAAAACCCAAGATGCACACTAGTAAAAATGTATGCCAAAATTGCTACGATTTATAAATTATCCATCTATACCTCCCTTCCCCAACCACTCTTTGTATCTGTATGTGTGTGCATATCCTGAAAGAATGTTAGGTAGAAAGTTTACTTTTTAAATTATAGTGTAAAATAAGCTAAGTCCTAAAGTAAGTTAGACACCTCAACTTCAGTAAGAAGTCAATTTTTTCTTCAGTTGGGTTCACTTTTTGTATTATAACATTTGTTCTTCTCATACTTACAATTTCTTAAATAGTTTATATTCTTTCTTGCCCTTAGTTCTTAGATATTCATTTTCTTTTGCTTGGGGTGTTTTCTGTCCTCCCTGTTCTCTCAGACTCACTCTCTCTTTTCCTCTTTAACTTGTACTAGTCCTTTCTGAGCTGGGATCAGCTTGGGCATCACTCCCGGAAGTTCTCTTTGACCTCCAGGCTGGGGTTAGTGTCCCTGCTCTAGGATCCCATTGCACCTTGTATGTACTCCCAGAACAACATTGTGTTATATTTGCTTCTTTTCAATTTGCTCGACCCCAACGGTAATCTCCTGGTAGGCTGGGATGGCAGCCTTTTCATTCTGGTACCATTGCTCGCCTATGCCTAGCACAGGGTCTGGTAATATAAAAACAAGGCATGATGCCTACTTCCTTTAACCAGGTATGCAAGGCAGCAAGGGTCCCCTGAGCCGGAATGCACTGGTAAAACGGTGCTCCCCTGTATCCCTGTCAGGGTCCTTCAGGATGGGACCAGGCCTGCAAGCCTCAGTGCTTATCGCTGAGTAGACCTGGAGACTGCAGGGATGCTCACATGCAGGAAATGAACATGTTGCCTGCTTGTGTTTCTTCATTTGAGCTGCTTTCAGCAGTATTACCGCATGGTCACTTTGTGGCGTTTAAGTTTCATCTCAGAAAGTGACCACGATGATCGGTCCCTCTGCAGGCTGACTGGCCCCCTTTGTCGGCTGCTCCAGACGGCATGGTATTATGTGGGGCCTTGAGTGCTTTCAATTATATGCCATGAGATTTGTTTAGCTTATCTAGGAAAGGGCTTTTCTCCCCGATGGCGATGACCAGGCTTAGGGACGACTTCCAGGTTGATTTTTCCTGTGTGTTTGGAGAAGGGGAAGCTTTCCCTGAAGACTCTGGATTCAGAACTCACTTCTCTTTCTTACTGACTGCATAGTCTGGGCACGTGACTTCGCCGTTCAGCTCCTGTGAGATGGGTTGTTTGAAGATCACTGCTCTTGCCCACACAGTTCTGAGTACCGGGGCTGGCCCTTGGTGGGAACTCACTCCAGTGAGAGCTCCCACCACCCTTGTCAGGAGAGCGCGCACTTTCTGATAAAGAGGAAATCAGCAGGCCTCTGAAACGCGTTCCCTTGCTGGTTTTACTGAGAAAGGACGAAAGATGGCCGGGTGTTTGCTATTAACCCTGCACCCCTAACTATGAGGTTCAACTTGTCCAACGGACCGGAGATTATCTATTTTTTATGGTTGTGGTTTCTTTTTCTTTCTTTCACCTTTAATAATAGCACGGTTTCTGAGCTATATGCTCCATTATCAAGAACATTGCAAAAGCCACTCAATGAGATCATTTTCCAGGCAAGAATATTTAAAGCTGATTATGGCTTCAGGGCATTTTTTTTCATTCCTACATAAACCATAGTTTTCAATTATTTCAGAATCACCATACATATTATAGAGCTGCACAGGGGTGCCGGATGAGTTCACGTGTCACACACCATTTGCTTGGGGAGAGGCTCTTGAAGGGGTGATACAGTGAGACTTAAGGCATTCTCTTTTTGTTTAGTGGGAAATATGCTTTTTTTTTTTTTTAAAGAATCTACCTTCTTTTAGGAAGTGTTTAACACAGAGATTATAAATAAATAGATACAAAATTATTACACCTCTTTGCATGTACTCTGGCTTGTAGATAAATTCTATAATATTTTAAAAATTCTTAGTAGGACAAAAGGATTCTGGACTTCTAGATTTAAGGCGATACTATGTGTTTTAATTCCTACTTTTAATGGACCAGGAATTATAGGTATTATCTGAAGAAGTACATGAAATAAGTGTAGAGTACTTTTAACTTTGAAAATTGTTTTGTTAAGCCCTAGCCAGTTTGGCTCAGTGGATAGAGGGTAGGCCTATGGACTGAAGGGTGCCAGGTTCGATTCTGCACATGCCCAGGTAGCGGGTTTAGTCCCCAGTAGGGGGCGTGCAGGAGGCAACCAATCAATGATTCTCTCTCATCATTGGTGTTTCTATCTCTCTCTCCCTTTCCCTTTCTCTTTGAAATCAATAAAAATACTTTTAAAAAAGAAAATTGTTTTTGTTGATATGTCTTTTATGGTAAATGGTGAAAATGTATTCAAGGTTGATCAAAATCTTCAGGTGTATTTTTTCACACTTTAAATATAAACCTTTAGTTTTTCCATATGCTTCTAGTCCTAACACTACAGGTGGTAAAAATGTAATGAATGTGTGCAAGAGAGATTTTCTGCTTCTTGCTGTGGGCAAAATTAGTCAGTGATATTGTTTAGAGGCAGGGAGGTACAAATAGGGCATTTTAAGGGGCTTACATTAGGTCAAATTGAATAAGTGACTGTATTCCTTTACTTAAAAGAGGGCCTAACCAGCTGAGAGAGTTGGAGTCTAAAAAATGTTTAATTAAATAGTAATAGGGAATTCACGTTTTGGACTTTATCTTCATTTACAATGGTTGTAAATGATTTTCCTCCTTTGCTACCTCTTGCAGATACTCGGGGATGAAGTTCAGCCCTTCAGACTTGATGAAGAATTTGATTATGACACTGTGATGCTAACCCCCAAGTTCACTCCTGCAGAGATAGAAGCCATCAAAGAACAACTATCCAAGCACAAGCGAGAGAACACCAACGCGGACTTGGAGGAACCCCAGGAACCCCGTGACTGATTCACCAAGACATCTTCCTGTTTACATTTATTTTGTTCTTATTCAAGCAAAAGTAGAATAAATGATAAACCTACTGGAAGCCCCTCTGTGGAAATTTATGTGTGCACTGATTTGTCAGAGTTACTTGCCTATAGGGCAGTGATGGCAAACCTTTTGAGCTCGGCGTGTCAGCATTTTGAAAAACCCTAACTTAACTCTGGTACCATGTCACATATAGAAATTTTTTAATATTTGCAACCATAGTAAAACAAAGACTTATATTTTTGATATTTATTTTATATATTTAAATGCCATTTAGCAAAGAAAAATCAACCAAAAAAATGAGTTTGCGTGTCACTTCTGACCCGCGGGTCATAGGTTCGCCATCACTGCTATAGGAAGATGCTGCCAACAAGACCACAGAGATCTCCACCCTCACAGAGTTCCCTTCTGTTATGTTGTTGCTGCACCCGTGGCGGGTAGGGGGCGGTGGAGGTGGCAAGTTGGGACAGGAGTTAATGCCCACTGAAGGAAGGGTCAGTTTGAAGAGAGCACTACAACTAGGTAACACGGGGCATTGTAACAAAGATTGGAGCATTATTTCACCTTTTGGGGGGTGAAGGACAGTTACACATGCAAAATGCATTGTAGCATAGAGAGAAGTACTGATTATGTGGGGAAGTTATTGGCCGCAGCTATCCAGACATATTGGTATGAATTTGATTGCTGAGAGACTGGGCTTCTAGGATTGATTGGGAAAGGCATGACTGGAAAAGAAGGCAACTGAGGATTGATTCTATGTCATTATTAAATTCTTGTACTTTGTTATCGCCATTGTGATAGCTACAAAGTACAAGGAATGATCTCTGTCTGCAGAAGCATCTCAAAAGGTTCGCCATCACTGGTCTAGGGAGTGTCACTAGGCCCTCTTAACCACACCTGGAGGACCCACCTGCTGGGATCCTTCCTGGTCTTTGATGAACTCCAGCCTGGGCTCTTGATGCAGAGCTCATTGGGGAGCTCTTAAGGAGTTTCAGGTAAGCTCAACCAGTGCCAGAAACATAGAGAGACTGAGTTGTATGGCTGAAGGGGAAGGCCATTTTTTCCTTCATGTGCCTGAGTGACCCTCCATTTTTTTTAATCCTCACCCAAAGCGTGAGGATATTATTTCCATTGATTTTCAGAGAGAGTGGAATGGAGGGAGCGGGGGAGATGGAGAGAAACATTGATGTGAGAGAGACACATCAATTAGTTGCCTCTGGCTTGCACCCTGACTGGGACTAGGGATTGAACCTGCAACTGAGGTATGTGCCCTTGACTGGAAATTGAACCAGTGACCCTTTGGTCCATGGGCTAATGCTCTAACCACAGAGCAAAACCAGCCAGGGCAAGGAACTGATTTCTAAATGTTAATTTTATTTTAATTTAAAATAAGTTGATATTTGATACAGTTCTTATAAAAATTTCTGGTACATTTGGAACAACTCAGGTATGTGCATCTGTACTTTTTCAACAGTACTTTTATGACATGTAAATACAGATCAATTATTTTTGATGACAGCTTAGTGTCTAAATTTGAAATATGCTACAAATGCAAAATACTCATTGGAGCGCAAAGGATTAACATGAGAAACTGTAGACTATCTTGTTATATTTTTGTATTGATTACATTTTGAAATGATGATATTTTGGATACACCAGGTTAAATAAAAAGTATTATTAAAATTCACCCCTTTTTACCTTTTAGAGGAGGCTCCTGGAACATTTACAATTACACATGCAGCTTGCATATTCTTACTTGCAGCTCTGCAGTAAAGAGTGTTGTAAGAATCCTGTGTATGTGAGCTCCTGGGACAAAGCAAGTTGGAGTGATTGCACCATGCCATGGTGAGCTGGGGCGTCATCACAGAGGAGGTGGCCTTTGACAGTGGTCAGGAAGAAAGGAGTTTTTACTGTAGGCTATTAGAATAGCTTGTCTGGGAGGTGATAGGAGCCCGAGTTAAAGCGGTGTACTTGGAAGTAAAGGGCATATATTTGATTAGAGCTTTGGATGTAGAACTAGCAAGGATTGTTGCCTGATGTGGGAATGAGAGAGCAATTGCGAGAGTAAGGAGATTTTAGCATGCAAACTATATAGCGCACCAACTTGAGGAGGAATCCCGTGGTGATATAATTTTTCACAGGATCAGACACACTCTTTTGACTCACCCTATACACAGCACTTTGGCATTTTAAATAAAGAAAAGACCTCACCATTTTAAAGGCATCTCAATTTTATGGACTTCAATAGTTTTCTAATAGAAGAAACAAAGCCATCCTTCCAAGTGTTTAAAAAGAATGGCATTTTCGTGTCGTATTTCATTAGCTGGGCTGGGTGGGTGGCAGGTGAATGATACTGCAGAGCATTCTGTCTGTAGAGTTGGTGTACTGCATCTTGGCTTCGGTCCTTCCGGCAATTCTTGATTCCTGCATTATTTGGGGGCAATTGTGCATTACAGTAAAAGTGACACTGGAAAATGGGTCCCTGAAAGCCTCTCAATGAAATAGTTTTGTCTCAGTTGTACCGTTACTCTTGCCCTAACTAGCAACTCCTCCTCCATGACTTTCAGCTTTATGGATCCCCTGAATCGATGTAAATGGCTTGTTTTACGCCGGCTGGCAACCCCTAGCCGAGTGCCTCTAGGAGAAGCCTGCGTGTGTATTGATGGATAATGCCTATGTGGAATAGGTAGCGCCACCCGAGGTAAGATTAATGCGCAGTAGAAGGTAAGGAGGTGCACCTGTATGTATACACCAACATGGGAGGGGAGAACATGAAAAATTGTAAAGTGTCTTGAAATAATGTGGCGTTTGCCATACAAACTAGCTTGAACGAAGATTTCAAGCCTGCCACCCTGAGTGCGGTGTTAAATAAAGCAATCTTAGAGAAAAAATATTGACCGGGTATTGAAATTCCTGATTCTTTCATCAAGAATCCCCACCACCCCTATGAAGGAGATAGAACTCTATCCTCAATTAAAAAGGAAATGTTCTTTATCTGTATGTGACTGTATGGTCGAATTAAAATATGAAAGAGACAATTTTAATTTCATTTGCTTGTTTCTTGGAATTGATGGTAAATGAATAGGTAGTGATTTGAACGAGGCAATCTTATTGAGACTTTTCTAGAAAAATATTTCTCAGTATGAGGAAGAGAAATTCATACCTGACCATGGTCTGTCCAGTCCTTATATAATATGGCCACCACTTACCCTTACCTTCTTCCTCATTTTATATCAGGTCCTGACCAGCTTGTATTTGTTTTCCTTTTTCAAACGCTCCACCTTGTTTCTACCACAGGGCCTTGGCTCTCACTTTTCTTTGAGCCTGGTCTTCCTTGGTCTTCAAAGGCTGGATCCTTCTCATTATTTAGGTCCCAGGTGAGAAGTATCTCCCTAGAGCCTCTCTCTGAACACCTATCTAACCCCTTTTCACAAACTTTCAACCCAGTCACTGTCGCTCTTGGTAAAGTAGAATCCTTTATCATTTCACTTAAAAATGTTAATGCTCAGAAGAGTCATCAAACTTTAGAGGTGGTTTGAAAGCCTAATTCCCCTGCATTCTTTGTATTTTTACTTATTTTGAGTGCGTTGTGAGCCACAAGAGGGTTCTAAGCAGAGGAGGGATGTGATCTGACTTCAGCTGATGGAGGATGGTAGGAAGGGGGAAGGGCTGTATTGTATTGGGGGAGGTCACCTGGATGGAGGGGTGTGCAGGGCTGGAATGTGAAGGACCTTCACACTTTTCTCTCTGGAAGTTCATATGACCTTCTTATCCCTGGTATTCTGAAAATGTAGACATGTGTTGGCATAGGTCTATTTTGTCCTTTGTGCTGGGCACTAAGTAGCCATTTAGTCTGCAAACCTATGTCCTTTAATGGGAGGAAGTTGTCTTGAATTATTATTGTTATTGTTATTATTATTGAAACTGTCTTGAATTATTTTTTGATGATTTTTCTTCCTTTTATTTTCTCCTTTCCAGAATGTTCATGTTTTGGATGCTGAACTTTCTAGATTGCTACTCTAGTATTTTTGTACTCTCTTCTATCTTACCCCCTGAATGCTGAACTTTCTAGATTGCTACTCTAGTATTTCTATCTTACCCCCTGCTTTTGCTCTATTTTCTGAGATTTTTTCCCAACTTTATCCACATTTTAATTGCAATGTATTATTTTCTTTAAAAATTTTTTTAGTTTAGTTTTAAATCTACAAGACAGTAAAGCCATTTCCATGGGGGGAAAAAACAGAGTTGCATCAGGATAAGACTATTAGGCAGAAAAGGTGAAGTGAGTGTTTTATCCTTGAGTGTGTGAGATAGTGCCTCTTGATGGTAATAAGCACTTGCGCTTATTATGTTGAATGAATGAGCAATAGGAAGTGGAGCAAGATGTCAGGAGGGTTTTGAATATTCTATCGTGTTGTAGAAAGCCTCAGATGTGACCACCTGGTAGCTAGTTGAGAGCTAGGACCCCTGGCACAGGGAGGTGAGAGATGCACGAGGGTGCTGTGTCTCTGGCTGGGTTGCCTTTGGTATGTATAGAGCATTCATGTGTTAGGAGCTCCATCCTCAAAAGCAGATCCTTCTCCTCCCGATGTTCCTGTTGCAGTGTTGTTTTGCAACACTACATTGGTTAGCAGAGTGTTGGTTTGCCTCTGTAGTACCTTTGATTCCAGTCTCTTCTCTGTATCCTCCATCGCCACTCTTCAAGCCTTCATTT